TGTCAGAGCCAATAGCAGAGCTACTTTGGCTGACAAGAACTTTAGGGGGACCTGATCTAAAGTTTCAAATGGAGCTTTACTCAGTGCGCGTAACACTAAAGCCAAAAACCCATTGAGGCGCCAAAGCGCGTGACACATGTCTGAGTCTCTGTGCTCCCTGTAGAAAACGTTTTGTCAGAGGGTGACTAAACACCGTGCTGACCCCAAACCTACGTGGCAAGATGAAATTGCAGCAGCATATGTTTTTACCGTGCTATAAGCCAATTCCTGTCCAGCAACAGCTGGAGGAACGACAGCACGAGGCAGGGGGCCCAACGGGGTCCAGGCTTTTCCCTGCACACCACACGGAACGCTGTCCATTTGGCTGTGTAGGATGTGTGTTCAGCAGCTGCGCTGATCGAACACCTCCCTGACGATTTATGTAGGCCGTCGCTGCTTTGGTGTCTGTTAGAATCAACATATGTTGATTGTACAGCAACGGGACGAAGTGCTGGAGCACTTTCCATACGGAGAGTAATTCCAGCACGTTTATATGGAGAGACATGTGAGCTAGCCACTGTTCCCCCACTGCCTACGACATGCACGTTCCTCAGCCTGCGAGAGATGCGTCTGAGAACACTGCGGTGTGTGACGTCACTCTGCTCAGGGGCACCCCCACTGACAGGACGTGGAGATTTTTCCAGTAGGTTAAATCCAAAACCACAGAAGGAGGAATGCACACCATGCGTCTCCTCTGACGCACGGGGTCGATGCACAGGCGAATAAACCACCTGGAGTCTCCTCACTATGAAGGAGACCCAGGGGAATCACCACGTGACCAGCTGATATCATGTCTAACAGCTGCATCACGGAGAGGGGTGTCACCGCCCCGCGGGGTGTGACGCGCCGGAGGAGAGCTGTCACTTTCTCCCCTCTCCGCTGTGAGAGTCGCGCTCTCATGCGGGCTGAGTTCAATTCCACTCCCAGTTAAAAAGATAACCTGGGAGGGACGAGGACAGCTCTTCTTCCAGTTGATAATGAAACCCAGGTTTGACAGATGAGATACGAGCTGTATCGTCTGAAAAACAGCTTCCTCCCTGGAGCGATTCAGCCACAGTCCAGGTAAAATAACACTTTCATCCCCATTCTGAGTAGCTGCTCCAACCGTCTCCACCCACTTTGAAAAAGTGCGTGGAGCCAGGAATGAGAAACGCAGGAATTTGCTGTGTTTCGGGATGATGGTTACGTGGAGGAATGCATCCTTCAGGATTATGGATGTGAACCAGTCTCCCTGGTGAACACACTCCAGCACCTGTTTGATTGTCAGCATGGGAAAAGGCCATTCCCTTGTTGGACACTGACAGATCGAGGATGGGTCTCATTCCCCCCGCCCCGTCTCCTTCGGGACCAGAAAATACCGGAAGTAAAAAACCCTGATTTTCTTCCCCATGAGGAACCCTGGAAAAAAGCTTTCTTTTAACAAGAGTTCCTGCCGCTCTGCACGGAGCGCGAGACACTGTTCCCGGGATGACAGGGTTCCCTGTATCCCGTAGAACTGCGGGGGGAGAGGCGAACTGCAGAGACTATCCTCTGCCGATCCGCCTGCTCATCCATCTGTCCATCAGACACACGCGCCGCCACCCTGAGTACCATACAGTACTCTGATAGTGCCGGGTGTACATTCTCTGGATGTGCTGTGGTTGGTGACAAACCACGCCAGAGCCCTCCACACGCTGCATTTCACACAGGCTCTCAATATGTCGCCGTTTAGGAGAAGGCTCGTAAACCGGACATTGAGGCGCGTTCACGCTCAAACCCGCTTGAGGAATGAACGGTGTGTGGAGGCATATCTGTGACATAGGAAACAAGCCCGTGCTGTCTAATCAACAGGTTTTAAAGACAGCTGGTTTGAGCCGCGAGCCCTGCTGCCTAATAACCGACAGGCTATGAGGCAGCCGCTTATGTCATCCGGAGGAGAGCTCTCCTGAACCGGGGGAACGGGGAGATCTCATTAGGCGGCTGCCTTTCCGATGATCTCCGGGAGTTCCTGGAGAATACCGCCTATACGGCAGAGCCGAGATGGCGGATAGAGGGACCCGGTGACCCGGTGTCAGCCCGGCAGCCGAACCTATAGGCTCGGCTGCCGGGCCGACACCGGGCCCCGCCCTGTCTCCCCCGTCCGGAGGAGAGGGAGGATGGGGCCGTTGGAACCACATGGTGATCCGTGAATGGAGGGGAAGGAGTCGCCTGACTGCTGCCCGCCACTCGGATCCAATAATCAAGGGCTTGGTCCACAGAGTAAGACTCCTGGACTAGCCAATCATCCCCGGCCGCAGCCGCGAGAGCGTTCGCTCTCCGCTGTCTGTGGGCCAGAGGGAGACGGACACAATGAGTGCACGACAACTGGGGAATGGTTTGCGTGCTCCAATCCCCAGCAGGACTCACCTGTATCGTCTGTGTAAAGCCGCTTCCTCCCTGGAGCAAGCCAGCCACAGCCGGTCGTAACTCATATGTCGGCTAACACAGAGCCCCGCCCTGTCTCCCCCGTCCGGAGGAGAGGGAGGATGGGGCCAGGGGGAAATGTTTGCTTTCTAGTAAACAGCTCTGAAAAGAGCTTGTGCCTGTACAGTGCTTCTGCAACGGAGTGCTGAAGAAAAGTGGGAGCAGATTGTAGGGACTACTTCCTATTTATACGGAAGTGAGTCCGTAGGTGGGGCCCACGTCATAGGTGGGCGTGGATTAAGTCTGTCAGTGCTGCACACCTGCAGAGGGATTACCCATTAGCGATATCCTTAGAGGGCGAAGCCTTATACGAAATAGAACAAGATGTGTGAGGCGTCTGATTGCAACAGAGCCTCCCGAGTGATAGCTGTCCCTAGCTTTGTAGTCATCTCCAGCAGGTGTGCGCCGGCTGTGAGCTGCGATCGGGGTGCGTCGGGCCGGCGTGCTCCAATCACAATCTTCAGGAGGCGGACCAGGAGATGGCAGCCAATCACGTCAGGGCACCCGCACAGCTCATTTACATACAACCCAGAGTAACACAGTTAAGATGACCAGGAAGACAGCAGCCTTGACACTCCCCCCCCTTAAGACACAAACCCACAGGTTTTGTGAAATTACACACACTAACGATCCAATCTAGTAACACACACACGAATAACACCAACCAGCCTGGACATGTCATCGGCCAACACACTCTCTGAGCCCTTTTATATGGCGGATATCTAACCTGTTAGTCCCGCTCGATCAGAGCCCACTGCGTGAGCCGCTGGTGGTGCCGGTACAGGCGAGTCCATAACATGAAGGGATCGTAGCAGATACACAATTAAAGGTCCCATGTCATGGCCATTTTCACTGATCATAATTCCATTGTTGAGGTCTACTAGAATAGATTTATACTGTGCAATTTTCCAAACTCACATTGGTTTCGCATACAGCATCTCTGTAAAGTATGTGTATTCAGCAGTATTCACTCTCTCCACTAAATGGCTCGTTGCAGCTCTTGCCCCCCCCTCCCTGTGAGCCCAGTGTGCTCCGATTGGTCGGGACCAGTCGGGACGTTGTGAATCGCGCTGAGCTCCGTGGAGGTGTGATTTCCTTGTTTCGCGATACACAGCGAAACACAGCCAAACTCATCCTGAGCACACACAAAGTCACAGCCGAAGTAAAAACAATAAGTGTGGCTTGATATTGAGTAAGAAAAAGGTTGATAAACGCTGTGAGAATGGGTCTGCAGAGAGAATTTCGCCGCGATCCCAACTGTCTGTTATCAGCCTGCAGCCAGGGAGGAGAAATCAGCAGAGCTGCCTGCACTGGTCAATTTGGACCAATCAGCGGGGGCTTAACGTAACGGCTCCGCGGACGTAACGTAACGGCTCCACAGATTGGTCCATTTCGTTCCGGGGACGACATGACATCATGATGTACCCGGAAGAATCAAATGGACAGTGACCTATCTCCAACGAGGCGTTTTGGGGAGGTATTTTCTGTGTTAGAGTTTTACTCGCTACATGGTGTACTTTGAGGGTTTTGACTCTGCACACCATTTACATTCATAAAAACCTTCATAACACACAAGGGGACGGGTAATAACCGGAAAAGCATGACATGTCACCTTTAACCAAAAACTAGATCCCACACAAATCTCAAGGTACCGTAAGGCTAACAATAGACCAAAGATGACTAATGTTGGTGTGAATGAGGTATTATACCTCATTCACACCAACGCAACTCCTAGAGCTTTTCAGGTTCAGAACCGGTTCTTCGGTTTAGCTCCGGCTCTTTTCACACTGCCCAGAGTCCGACTGGTGCTGCGTCATTGCGTCATCGTTTGCGTCATGACGTAACCGTTTGCGTGCGTGCTTCATAAAGCCAAACCGCGCGGAACCCCCTCACAGCTGACACCGACAACAACAACAATGGCCGATTGTGCTCCAGCTTCCTCCGTACCTCTTCAGAAGACCAGATTCCCAGTAGGTAGCTGGTCTCTTCAGTGGACCACTGCTGCTTGTTAAGTTTCTCCATCGTTGTGTACAAACTGGATAAAACGTGGGCTTTTTATTGTTGTTCAGGAGTTGATCCCGCCCCTGCCCCCGCCTCGATGTAAGCGTGACGTATGCGGTGCTTTTGCTCTAGCCGGACAATTTTTTGGTGCTTGAAACGAACCGGATTCCGGAGCTAAGAGGCTGCTCCGCTGCGGTGTGAACAAGAAAACCCAGTGCTTCTCAAGCTCCAGCTCCGAACCGGCCCTGAAACACTGTTGGTGTGAATGAGGTAAATGAGGTATGAGTGGTTGACTTATCAAAACAGAGCTGGCCTGCTAACCAATCAGAGCAGTCTGGGCTCTGGTTTCAGACAGAGGGTGAAAAAGAGGTGCTAAAGCATGTAAACATGTCACAGTAGAGGCACAAAATACATTTATGAAACCTGAACATGAGCATCATAGGCCCCATTTATGATGGCATTCATTTGCTTTAATAAATGTCTTCTGTGTTCTGTCTCATATCATTTCTCCTTATTAGCAGATCCCCTCCAACCCTTCACAGACACAGCTGCCTCCCTGCAAACCCCAGTCCAAATCCAAATTTCTGCAGCTCAAGCAAAAACCTCAGGTCAAATCTAAGGGGAAATCCAAGGCGCAACGGAAAAATGCTGTGCCGACTAAGACAGCAGCCAAGCCCCTGCCCACGATGCCTCCATTTGACTTTGAGGGCTATCTGAGAAAAAAGGACAACAGAAACTTTAAACTGCTCATAGACCAGCCTGATAAATGTCAAGTTGGGGGAGCAGAGGAAGAACAAGAAGGAAGTGAAGGGTCGTCTGCTGCTCTCTACATGCTGATTGCAGTGAAATCTATCCCTGCAGATTTTGAAAAACGTCAGGTAAAATATCCCATGTGGTGTTATCCCAAACGTTCCAAAAATGTCAAAGCTAGAAAAATCTGGTATTTAACATGCCTCACCATAGTGGTTCTCTGCCAGAAGTTCTCATAAATTAACTTTTTATCCAGTTTCAAGCCATGTTTTTACTTGCATGTTCTAAACTCTTTAATTGCATATCAACAATAAGTCATATAAACACTTAAAGTTATCAGAGGAACAAGATGAGCAAACATAATTGGTAATTCAACTCAAAGCTCTTTGGTATGCCATTGTACCCTGAACAGCCCCTGAGAAACACAGATTTAAAATTGTGAACTTTATTCAGTGTTTTTCCTGGTTTTAATCACTCAGCTATTTGCTTTGGAGAGGAGGAGGATGTTGATAGTTTGGCTCTCTGGTAAACACCTACTGAAAAATGTTTAATAAAGGAATCCTAACTGGGAAAGACTGACTGCAATTCAAGTTATTGTTTTTATGTGTCTGCTCTGCTGGAAAGTCATTCAAGTTGAACCTATAGGTTACTAATTTATTCACTGTACATTTATTGGTCAACAAGATCATCTATTCCTCTCTCCTCGTTATAACTTTCAGGTTGTACGTCGGACCTGGGGTAAAGAGGGACTTTTCAAAAATGGTGTTTCCATCCGCACTCTTTTCCTCCTCGGGGTTCCCAGGAATCGGACAGCTTTGCCTCTGTGGGATCGGCTTTTGACCTACGAGAGTCAAACCTTTAAGGACATCCTGCTGTGGGACTTTGACGACACCTTCTTCAACCTGACGCTGAAGGAAACACATTTCCTTGAATGGGTTAACAACAGCTGCCCTCATGTCAAGTCAGTGTTTATAAACTATATTGGGTTAATCTGATTCTTAGATTAGTATGACTCACATCTGATGTTTTTCCCATTGTTTTGCTTCATACAGATTCATCTTCAAGGGCGATGCTGATGTGTATGTTAACGTGGAGAATATACTAGAGATGCTCCAAGGTCAAAAGCCAGACACAGATCTGTTTGTGGGTGATATTATTATCCATGCTAAACCCATTCGCCGGCGCAGTTCCAAATACTATGTGCCAGAGTTTGTTTACGGAGGGGGCTTGTACCCAAATTACGCTGGTGGAGGGGGTTTTGTCATGTCAGGACATACGGCTCGGAGACTTAGCTCTGCTTGTCAACAGGTGAATCAAAATTGGACACTTAATATGCGGCTATATCTTCTATGAGAATTATTTTATGCAAGCATTTTTTTTTTACTTCCAGGTGGAATTGTTCCCCATTGATGATGTCTTTCTGGGAATGTGCCTCCAGCTGATCGGTGTCAAACCATCGCGTCACCAGGGCTTCCGTACCTTCGGGATTCCCCGTCCGTCTGCAGCGCCCCACCTTCAAACATTTGACCCGTGTTTTTACAGGGAACTCATGGTTGTTCACAGCCTCAGTGTTCCTCAGATCTGGCTCATGTGGAACCTCCTGCACGACCCCGAGCTGAGCTGCCACAACAGGACCAGCCCGACATCCTGGCCATTTAGGTGGAAGGACAAGATGGTAGAAACTGAAGGAAAAGAGACGGACTACGGTGAGAAACAGGTGTTTGTCACGCATTAGAAGGGGCAAGGACGAGGACAAAATGCTTCAAAAAGCAGGATCTGTGAAAACTTGAAAGCCTTTTTATGTGTTCAGAAGCACAGTTGAGTCATATGATCCAAGCTGACAGACCATGTTTGGAGAAATGAATTGGCAAAGGGCTAATGTTCTTCAGACTTTCAGCCAGAGAGCCCAGAGAGAATCAGGCATTATGAGATCCAAGCCCATCTGAACAGATAGACAGCAAGAACTTGATCCACCAAAAAGATTGTGAGAAGACTTTTGAATGTGCAATCCGAATGTTTTGGGTTTTAATTGTTTACACAGAGACACAATTTGATCCACATAAAAAAACACGTGGTTATTATCGGGTTTAAACCCATGCAAGCAAAGAGTCAGGACTGGAGATGGCTGTGTGTGCTGGGGGAGAGTAAAGACTTTGTGTTTTCACAGTGAATCGTGAGCAGAGGTGTTCCCTCTCCCTTAATGGAGGCACAAATGGGCAGTCGCACTATCTGTTCCCTGGAGGAACAACAAATGGAGCCTAAATGGAACCAGCTGCACATTGGGAAAACACACACACACAGAGAGAGACACACGATACAATCTCTACTGAATGTTTGGGAATAAGCCTGATATTTGAAGAATCAGACATGCATACTTTTATGTGAACAGTATTGTTAGTATTATCAATATAATAATTTGATTTGTATAACTGTGTTTTTCATTAAAACTCTTTACCTTTACCCTCATGTGTTCAAACGAAACTAGGACATAGGACAACCCTCTTCAGAATCAGAATACCTTTATCCGTCCCACATAGGGGAAATGTGCATTTGTTACAGCAAGAAAATAGCCAAAGACAGCTTAATATTAACCAAGAAGCATTCATACAAATTATTAAAGATAACAAATTACACAATTAAAAAAATATACATCCTGTAACAGTTCTGAGAGATAGAGCAGCCAGGTATGGCACAGCTATTAACGCCATATACAGTGGGGCACACACCTGGGGACCAACTACAAGAAGCGTCTGACCTCTGTGCTGTCCAACAAGTACTAAGACATGTTTTGCGAGGGGATCAAATTCTTATTTCCCATAGTTAAATGCAAATCAATTTTTATCTTTTATATCATGTACATTTCTGGATTTTATTTTTGATATACTCTCTAAAATAAACCTATACCATTAACTGTTCATTTCTTTATAAGTGGGCAAACTAAAAAAATCTGCTACTGCAATACTTATTTCCTCCACTGTATATTGCACATATTTGATATTATTAGTATAGTCTTTGTTGTTTGTTGTTATACTGTATGTGTAGGAGTTTACCAGGGACCGTGATGGTTATACAGTCTGATCGCTGCAGGAAGGAAGGAGTATGTTGAAGGATAGGGAAAACAATTAGGTTGAAAGGAGTATGTCGAAAATATAATTAAAAAATGAATTTTTTTAAAATATAAAATAAGTCATCGTGTTGAAATTATGGAAAAAATCCTATTTAAAAAAAGCTATAGTAAAGTCATTCGTAAATATATTGTGAAGTCATGGTATAGTAGGTTGAAAAATATGAAAAAAGGCACAATTTAGTATGTCGATAATATCATGAAAAAAATAATTTTTAGTAGTTCTAAACATAAAGACAAAAGTCAGTTTAGTGTGTCAAAAAATATTATACATACTATATTAATAAAGTCTCAGTATAGTACATTTAAATATATGAAAAGTGTAGTATCTTGAAAACAGTCATAATATAGTGTCCTTAGCTCATGGCTTAAGTGACATAAGCTAAGCCTATATAGATCAACAGTTTCAAGAAATAAAAACTTCTGAATCACTTTTCACATCCACATTTGTATTGTTTTTTCATATCCTGGTTGCACACACAAAATGATCTTTGATGTCGATGAATTGTGAGCATTTGATTTTATGAACGTTGCATTGTTGCATTGGAGTTGTTGACATTGCGGCTCGCCGATAATAAATGATCATTACACCTGGGTAAAACAGAGTCCATTCTCTTCGGTTCGAAACATAATCTCAGCAAATCCGACGACTTCGCAGTTGCAGTGGGCGACATTATTGTCACAAGTAAGAAGGAAATTACATACCTAGGATCTATTCTTGAGGCAAACCTCTCCTGTGACAAAATGGCATCCAATGTAATAAAAAAAGTCAATCAAAGAACTAGATTCCTATACCGGATCTCCTCTCTGGTAAACAAAAACACCCTGAAAACTCTGGCAGGAGCACTCATTCAAGGGTACTATGACTATTCTTGCACGTCATGGTACCATAGCACCTCCAAGGCGCTAAAAATAAAACTTTAAACATCGCAAAATAAACTGGTCAGACTACTGCTTGACCTTCATCTAGAACCCACCTCACCTCCTGCCCACTTTGACAACCTAGGATGGCTTAGAGTAGACGACAGAGTACAGCTACTTGCAATGGGCCTGGTCTACAAGATCCACTACACCTCTATGGTACCCATGTACATGTCAAAATTCTTCCCAAAGGTCAAGGAATACCATGATCATAACACCAGAGGGAGCTCCACAAATCATGTGAAACCCAGATTTGGCACAAAAAAAGGGGAATACACGTTTCGCAATTATGCCACATCAAGGTGGAACGCTCTTCCCACAACTGTAAAGGAAAGTAAAACTATACTTACCTTCAAAACCTCTCTTAAAGAGCACCTTCGGGGGAGAGCATTGCAAAACTGGCCCCGGTAATGGTACAAATCTCAACCTGTCGTTCAATGGACAGCTTCCCCCCCAATCTATGTATATACTCGCATTTTAGACTCTGTTACTAACTGTATATCTGTAGACTTGGTATGTCTTAAATGTCCGGTTAGGATGTATTAGAACGAAATCTAAAATGAAAATTGTAAACAAGCAATCTGTATGTAAAAAAAACCCCACCTGTATGTAAATTGTAAATAAGCCATCTGTATGTCAAATATGTCTTATATGTCTTAAATGATATGATGAATTGGAAATGGGGGACCCTGATGTAAACAAGACGAAAGTCTTTCTCTGGTCTGCATCCCCTTAACAATTGTATGTTTTGAGCTGTACTGTACTGTACCCAATATACAAGCTGTTAATAACTTTTCAATCAATCAATCAAGCGCAGCAGTAATATCAACTACCGCCATCAAACACAGTAAAAAGTCATTTGCCGGGGCGAAGCTTTCAGTCAGTCCTTTCCTTTGCACTACATGGTATTGTTATTGCCTTTTATCAGTGGACAAGCTCAATAACTCATCTTGTTACATACATAAAGTTATAGTATTCAAGATATAAAACGCCACATTCCAATGAGTTTCACAAGGTTTAATTACCTGACCCATTTCCAGAAATGGCCTTCAAATGCACTGAATCCACAAATAAATATTCTCATGAGAAAAAGCAAGATGGACAAGCATTATGATAACAAGAACAGGCAATACAAAGCGTTAATATGAGATTATCACTGAACTGAAGCAATACAAATTATATAACAATCATTCATTCCTGCACTTCAACTAAAGAATACAAAAAGAGAGAACAAGTTATATTTTAAAAGCAACACAGACCTCCAGATTCAAGTTTCCACTTGTTTTTCTTAAAGCATTTAGAAAAACATGGATGCGATGTCCACCTGAGTTTGTGTTTGAGACACTATATTATGACTGTTTTCAAGATAGGCTACTACACTTTTCATATATTTAAATGTACTATACTGAGACTTTATTAATATAGTATGTATAATATTTTTTGACACACTAAACTGACTTTTTTCTCTTTATGTACAGAACTACTAAAAATGATTTTGCCAAGCTAAGTTTACTCAAAATATGTACGTTTCTCCTCAGGGTATTCTTGGTTCATTCATTCCTGTCTCTACTTTGTATTATTTTCATATCATCTTTGACAAAAGATAAGCTCTGCGAATTTCTGAGCAATGACCAATATGGTGGAAGACAAGGAATGTTTCTAATGTAGATCCTGTTTTCCTTGCAGAATTGTGTTGCTCAAATCATGTATTCCTACCTAAGATGAACTTTTAGGAGTGCAAATCATTTTCACATTCTCCTGGGTGCAAGGTGTAATTATAAACCATGTTATAAACACACATATACAAAACTAAACAAAAACCTTGGTCAAAAAAGCAAAGAAAATGAACAAACTCAAAAACCCATCCAAACAAACCAACTTGTCACTCTCTATGTAACAGGTCAACTAAAACAACAGATGGCCATAAAAGCATGTTAGCATGTTGCTAATGCTCATTGACACACACACATACGTACAAAGATGCAAATGCATATTCAAACTGTACAACAACATTTGTACAAAGGGGACACAAATCAAAGACAGGCTTGGTGGGAGATCAGGCACCATATTCAACAGTTTTGTGTTTTTCTTGATTTTCTTTACGTACTTGCCCAAAAGCAAGTTGTATCTCCATCAGGGCGATTATATTACACAGGTGTTCCTATGCATGTCTATAGATGAACCAGGACAGAAAAAGGAAATGTCAAGGTTCATCAGACATGGCTGGACAGCCCATTGCTCAATGACATTCTAAATGTAGGAGCTTATTGAGAAAACTAGTTTATTTGTTGCCATTTGTCCTGAAACATTACCCTTGCTTGTGATACCAATTTTAGGAACAGACTCTCCTGCTTCCAAAAACCACAATACCTAATTTAGGAAGGGGTCTGGCTAGCAAGAGATTTGAGTTTTTCTCGTGTAAACAAGTACACGTTAACTCTAGCAAGAGATTTGAGTTTTTCTCGTGTAAACAAGTACACGTTAACTCTAGCAAGAGATTTGAGTTTTTCTCGTGTAAACAAGTACACGTTAACTCTAGCAACATGCTAACGCTAGATTCCAAATCAGATCTGTCCACTATAAAAACACATCTCAAACAAAGATATCATCTAGTCCAAATTTGAAAAAGGATCATGTTTTCCCTGCAAACTTTTAGTTTAATGCCATCCAGGTGGATCCAACATCAACATGACATCTGTGTACGTGCCACCTTAGCATCGTACAAGGACAATGTTTAATACCGAGTGGACTGGAATTAAAAATTAAAAATCTCAGTGTCAAAGAGTCAGCTGTGAGCAGATGCCTCCTCCTAAGTTAAAGTATAATCAGAATGACAGAGGGAATAATAAGACACTCAGCCAGTGCCTGAGTCAGTTGTGTGTATGCCAATAAGCCATGTAGGTCATGTAAATAACAGGACGCCGGATTAACGGCACACAACAATTTACAGCATTTGTACATCAACTCCAATAATCAGGGCCAGGATACACCAAATAAAACAGCCTGAATAACTGGAATTGCACTGCACATAAATTCATTTCTTCTACTTCCATTTCTCATGGTCATTCGTACGGAAAGAAACCCTATGGAAATCTGAGCCAAAAACAAGGTAGCTTACTGTAAATAAAGGGTACAAATTGTAAAACCTTTAGTTCCTATCATAACAATACAGAAATGCAGACATGTAGAAGAGTAATGAACATATAATAAAACACCACAGTGGAGCCAGTTTGAATGTTAAATCTTCTCCATATACCCCATGACATAATACATTTAACCCGCACTGAAAAATACTGTGTAACACCTCGAAGCAGCCAACTGTGCATTTTATTCTCCCATCTGCAACATGTGTTCATGTACAGGGGCCCTAATGCCTTCACACAAGCAATAATACATTCAGCAATAGTGGAACAAACTAAATGGTTCTTTGTATGAATGGACAAGAAAAGAGAACGTGTGTATTCAAACTAATACACAGTTTATTTCAAATGCTTACAATTAAAACATTTTTTTAATTCAGACATTGGGAGGGAAACAAATGTTATGATGACAGAATGACTGATGTTCTTTCCAATTTCCTGAATGGGTTCCAATGTAGTAAATTCACAGAGAAATAATGGTGATCTTTAAATCACAGCTCTCTGAAAACAATTACAACAATATACAAGTTATAATTGTTCATATTGTTAATGTGTCTCTGGCTGTAAATGAATCCAGATGAAAGACAGGCTGATCTGGTCTCAAAACACACAGATACATGAGTCAGTTATTTACATCCCTTGTAATTACTGTAACAGACACCAGGAACTGAATTTAGAGGCGGATGCACGGAAATGAGTTTGATGTGCAGTTTTGACACAAGAGAAAGGAGACTCTCCCCTTAGGACGAGACTACAGTGAAAATGTCAGCAATTGAAATCTTCCTGAAACTTCTTTGGCTGTAGCATTTGGCAATTCAACAGGAATCAATTGCTGAGGGATGAATTGCAGTGCGTGGATGTAGAAATGAAGAAAGAGGGAGGAGAGTAACAAAAAGTAAATGACTGCATGAGAGGATCTTGCACACACACACACACACACACACACACACACACACACACACACACACACACACACACACACACACACACACACACACACACACACACACACACACACACACACACACACACACACACACACACACACACACACACACACACACACCACACACACCACACACACACACACACACACACACACACCACACACACACACACACACACACACACACACACACACACACACACACACACACACACACACACACACACACACACACACACACACACACACACACACACACACACACACACACACACACACCTCTCCTAATGTCACCACCAACAGTCTCTGAGGAAATGGCCAAATCAACCAATCAAGTAATACGGTGTGTTAAAAAAGAAAATGGTTGTGGTGTGAATAATTGAAGCGGGGCAATATATTTATATATTTTATACCCCTAACAACGTGCAGGATCATACAAACTCAACAAACAGGTTGCCAGTTGTGCTTATAATACGTCCTCTCATTCAAAAGTAAGTTCATGCAAAATCTCGTGCCATGCCTGCATGTCTCCGTGTTTGTGCTCAAAAGGCTAACAAAGATAAACCAGCTCTTATGTGTTAGAAATACACACGCATAGTGGTGAAGGGACTGAAATGCTGTGCGTTGAAATGTCAATTTGAAATAAACAACAGCGTTACACATGCAGATGCCCATTCATGTGAGTGTTGGAGCAAGGAGACAGACAAGACTACATGTGTGTGTGTGTGTGTGTGTGTGTGTGTGTGATGTGGTGTGTGTGTGTGTGTGTGTGTGTGTGTGTGTGTGTGTGTGTGTGTGTGTGTGTGTGTGTGGGCACCACTGAAGACAGCTAGAGGAACAGTACGTAGGACATTGGACGAGGGAAACGATGACGCTGATGTTTGGATGGTTCTGCTTCTAGAGGCTTCACATCTGTTGTGGGCGTGTTCTGGGCCACATGTCTCTCCACACCCCTGAGTGTGTTTGGTTCTCCCCTTCCTCTCATTTCATGGTCGTTTGTTTCCTGTTTATTTGGTTAGTGATCTGCAGCTTCTGATGCAAATGGTTTTAGATGCGTTGAGGGTGGTGATGGAGCCGGCCAAGCCTGGTTGTGAAGTCTCGGTAGGAAGACAGGCGGTACTCGTTGAAGCTGGCAGTGTTGATGTTTGTTCAGTGGGTCAAGCACAAGTTTATTTCAAGACTTTGGCCAGAGCAGTTTCCATAGAGATTTGTTGCAGATGATAATTGAATGCAGGTCATCTCGCCACAATGTTATGGAGGTTATGTCATACACAGGCTGCCCTTTGCATGCCATCCAATCTTCAGTCGGGATAAACTCTTCTTCTGCGGTTCTGGGCAAACTCAGTCGCTGGATGGAAACAGGAGAGCTCTACTTGAGATCTACAGATTCCTTCACCAATTTGTAGCACCGCAGCGATATTCAAACCAAAACCTATTTTCATCAGTTTCATTTCAATGCATCAGTGGTCCAGCACTGTGACCATGCAGCTAGATCCTAGATAGTCTGGGTTGAGTAGACCGTGCCGACTGGATGTGTCTGATTGGAAGAGAAAGTAGGACCCTCCAGGATTTTAGACGTTCTAGGTTCTGGTTGATTTTCTGTTCATGAGTAGCATCTGAGCTGGGTATGAAATGCTTTGTTGCTCTGGGTTGGGTCTGCTTGGTTAAGAATCTGGCTCTGGGTTAGAGGTTCATTCAGCAGAGGTAAGAGATTTTAGGACAGGCCAAAATGGGATGTGGTTCTGGTTTCTTGTTCAGTGGGAACTACTACTGGTCTCAGGTCGAGCTTTAGTAGCAGTCCGTGGAGCTCCGTAGAGGGTCACTGATGCTATGTGGTTATTCTGCATCACCTGCGAGAGAGGAATACAGAAAGAGAATGTTAGAATGGACTGAATCACATATTTCTAATAAGGTAAGCAATCATTTTAAGTTTGCTGCTGTTTGCATCAGGCCTTTTGTACACATTGGAACATTAGCTAAGTCCAAAGAGATGTGTGTTCTGACCTCAAAGATCATCCTCTGCAGTCCGAAGCAGAATGTAGAGCCGAAGGGGTTTGTGTTATTAGCGGATGAGGACCTGCCAAACACAAACATGTCATTATTTCAGAGACAGTTTGCATACAGATTTGAAAGAGTACCACTTTCAAGTTACCTAAAGCCCCCAGACTGCCAAAGCCTTAAACAACATCTACATTGTAACTTTAAAATGACCTTAGATGTAACAGACACATTTAAAGAAGCAATGGTGCAATGTGATGCATTTTGACCAGATTCAAGAGCATATGATCGTACCTGTGGAGCACTACAGGTTTTTCCATTGGGTGCCCGAGCAGTTCCTGGATCTGGTCCCACTGGAAGAGGAAGAGGAAGAGGAGGAGGAAGAGGAAGAGGAAGGCTTGTTTTATCCACTGCCATGCATCACAAGATCACAAGACCTGTACAACAATATTTGTCAACAACAACTACTTTGTGGTTTGTATTAGCTTCCAGGTGATAGTACTGCAGCTAGGCCTCCGTGTACAAAGTATAAAAAGATGGTTGATCATCACATTATCTCTGAAGTAAAGAACAAATGCGTTTTCTCTAAACTGAAAGATCATATAGGACCATATGAATTTGCATCAACCAAAGTGAGGCCATTTTCTGAACGTGTTAAGTGGATAAAAGTCATTTCATATGACTGCAATGATATGTCTTCCTCGGAAGTAACATTGGAGGCAACAGAATCAAGTCTTTCATAATATCAGACTTTTATGGATATCAAACAATGGCAATGCGGAGAAGAGATTGAAGAAAAACAACAGTCTAAATTAGAAAGCTGAACTCTTTGAAGACTCCAGGAGAAGCGACTATGTCCGATCATTACAGCCCCACCACAGTGCTGTGCCACCTTGTTCATTTGCAACAAAGCAACGGCCTCTGGCAAAATGTAACAGTGCTATAAACTCAGTCTATAACTCACCTTGTTGTAGGTGGTTAAGATGCAGTCCTCCATCTGGGAATCAGCTCCTTCTGGAGTGGAGAAAGCAGCAATAGATCAAAAATCGACATCACGCTGGAATCATTCTTTGAGATACATGACTGATAAGGGTCTCACCTTTCTTAATCACTAGAGGAATCTTAAAGTCACATCGATGATAGCTGTGAGGAAAGAGAAAACATAATTATACACATAGAAAATTAAATCAATGACATTAATGATACAGTGTAAAGGGTAAAAGTTGAGAAACAAATGCTAATAATATGAGCCCTGTGTGTAGATAATGTAGATGATGCCGTATGAGGCTGCAATGGTTCTGTACCTGGTCTATTGTATGTACCAATCATTTTCCAGAATCTCAACCATCTGCATTCATAGTGAATGCTCCCATCCCATCCCTAGTGAATACATTTTATATTTTTTATAATATCTTTTTATCAAAAAAAGCAGAAAGTAGCACAGAGCAAATCTCATAACTGGTTTAGACCTTTAGCACGTTTTTGCTAGCTTACCTAGTAAGATGTAGCTTGATTAAGCTAAAAAAATGCTAATAGAGTATGAACTTGTCCAATTCCATGTTTACTGGAATGTATATATAAAAACATAAATTAGTTTATCACTTTATATTCTAGGTTTGCGAGACCACAGTGTCGGCTAACATTTTCCAAGTACCTTTCACAATGTATGTATTTGACAAATAATATATTTAAATGATCCCTTGAATGGATTATGTTAATTTATAATATAGTAAAGGGTATGGTTTAGTTCAAATGGTAAATACAGCCAGTAACCATAACCACTATATTTCCATTTTATTATTGTGATTTACAATGAATTCACGTTGAATACGTCCAGAATGTTTCATCATTATGCAGCAAATGTAGAGGAATCACAACGAAAAAACAGACACACAGAATCATGTAGCTAGACAGAGAGATATTTACATATTGAAGTTGTAATGTCCGGGGAAGTTGGTATGAAGGACAAACTTCTTAACCAGGTGAGTTGTAGAGTCAAACAGGATATCCTGAAGAAAAAAGAACAGAAAACCCAATCTTTAATAATGCCTCTTTGCCACATGTTTGGCAAGACCAGCACATCACAGTCCTATCTACTGCAAACAGCATGCCACATGCAATTAAGACACATTGTAGGTGCTTTTTGTTTTGTTTTGTTTTTTTAAGATCATGAATTAAATTAAATGCCTTTCTAGTCTTTTTATTAGCATGTATTCATCCTCTTATAAACATCTTCAGCAGTAACATACTTCACTGCGTCTCCACAACCATGTTTGCACTTCTTCCTTCGCGGGAAGTACATTACTATGGACGAGCCGAGCGTTCAACATTTTAAACAATTCTAAAGTAAATCAAACACAACCTTTTTTCGTCCAAGACTTCATCCAGGCTTCTTAAAAAAAGATTCTGGCTTGAAATCAAACGGTGACTAACTCAAGTTAAAGTTGATGAGTTCTTAAACAAGAAAAAACAATAAATACAAACACTTATTAAAACACGACCACTTAAGTATCCAAACGTATGCACACAAGAGTTAGGCCGAGTTTACATACCACTCCGAGGGTGAAGTAGTTGAAGAAGTAGTCGTTACATTTGGAAGGAACCTGCTTGTGAGGAGACGGAGAGTGGATCTTCATCTAAAATAAAAAAAGAACAAAATTATACAGATGATAAATGACTATATATGTCGTCAAGTAATGCTATTATTGTCTTTTTTATGGTCAGGCAGATATAGAGATATGTTGCCTTTATTTGTCATGTTTCTGGCAATAACTGAAATTGGCTTTGTATCTGTTTAATGTGAACTGAACCAGCAAGTTAATAACTAAATTATTCATCAGTGCTGTTTGACTGTTGCTACCCGAAAATGATTTGAGGGAAGTAATGAGATTGAACCACAAACAACATTTCTGATGCTAAATAAGGGTGAAAATGCTTGTTGGGTTAGTCACAGTTTACCAATTACAGATTACACGTCATAGGAACTTAATCAAATTTCAATATAAAATGTATTTGTAAGGGAAGCTTATAGCCAATGAGTAATTTTCTGCCACTAGGGATTTCTCAATCAACATAAAAACGAATCCCACAAACAAATGTTAAAACACAGCATGAAGTGGTTTCACGTAAAAAATCCGCAGACAAACTAAACCACTAAAGTTTGCCAACTGTGTTTCTCTGATAACTTAAACTCAAGTCATTTTATGACTTAAATCCTCGCCTGGTTTAAACAAATAAAAAGGTAACAACTAGAGGAAAACGTGTATTGTAAAAAAGAGATATGTTGCCATTACATGAAACTAAATGAAATGGACTGTTACCTTTATTAAATGTAGAGGTTAAATTAAATCTTGGTTTGAAACTGTTGAAGCATTTGGGATAATGCTCACACAGCTCAACACAAATATTTAAAATGGTAGTTGTTTTATTTATTTTGAAGCGTTTTGTTACATATTATACCTTAAAGGTCACCCATCATGCTATTTTTAGGCATTAGCATAGGTCTCATATACAAATATACAAAAAACATGTCTATGAAGTGTTTTGCTCAAAATACCAAACAGATCACCCATTATAGCCATGCCTCATATCCCTCTATTTCAACCCTGTTACTAAAGTGCTGATTCTGGGTAAAAAGCCTTAAAAAAATTTTTTAAAAAGGAGGGGATAGAGCTTATGCCGGCTCATGCGGGAGATTCTTCTGGCAGATTGTCAGCTAAACACTGCCGTGAGTAAACACCATATCATGTTCAAAACCACATCAAGGATTATTTCTGAAACAGTATGGAGCTCAAATGCTTTTTCTCTTGGGGGTTTACCACAAGGTGAGTTCCTTTTTTTATTTCCTGCTGTTTTACACATATTCTCTCCAGTACAGGTTAGCTCTGAGTGTTAGCGATGCTTGCTAATGTAAACAAAGACCATATTACGTCCAAAACAGTCGGGCATTGTTTCTGATAGGGCCGATATTACGTCATATTGGACGCAAATCTGGATCAGCTCCGTCGTACCCCCTGTTTTTAGAGATTTGGGTACGGAGGAAAAGAGAGAGGGGTTTGTCTTCTGACACTTTGTGAGTTCCCTGACATACCGGGGACACATATTTATGTATAAAAGACATAACAAATTGAATTGTGCATGATAGGTCCCCTTTAAACTAATTTAAGATATCCTAATGTATATCATGATTTCTTGTGATCCCACATTCAAGATGTAGAAGCCAACCGCCGTGCACATTCAGCTGAGTAAAAGGTGGACAGGTCTCAGCTCTCAATCCTGCATTATAATATAGTAAGGGCCAGTCTATTGATTGCGTGAAGTACAACCGCGTGACTCAGTCATCTTTCACTTAAAAAAGCATTTAAATACCGCATTTAAAATCTGATGAACTCAGTGTACATCTGACCGGGTTACGACATTTCCTATTGACGCAGCAACCACTGTAAGTTATATTCTTGTTTAATTAGACTTCTCTGTTTCATTTATTCGACTCTGTATAATTGTTCTGTAGTTATTGTAGCTAAAACGGCTAAATCGCTTTTGAGAAATTTTAAATCTCAAACCTGCTTCACAGGTCTCAGCTCTCAATCCTGCATTATAATATAGGCAGGGCCAGTCTATTGTCGCCCATCAGCTGTAGATAGTTAACTAATTAGAGGGGCGTGCCCCTACAGCTGTGAGAACTCAGCAATCAGGCGTCCATTTTAGGTAGCTCTTTCCTGGAGCGTCAGCTTAAGCGTCAGACAGGCTAAGACTGACAAAGACATTGGAGTCCTACGGGAGGAAGACTGACAAAGACATTGGAGTCCTACGGGAGTCACGAGGGAGGCAAAGAGGAGGCAAATCCTACTCTGATTGAGCTGGTGTTTTATTTCTCTTTTCTTTAGTTTTCTAACCCCTCATGCTATAATCATGTGTATTTTCTCCATTCCTGTTCATGTGTCTTCTCGCAATTATCACTGGCCCCGTGTATCTCGTAATCGATATAACCGGCCTGCTCTCGTCTATCCCACATGCTCCACTGAGATCCAACATCTAGTTTCAGGTGGCCTGTGGAATTGCCAGTCAGCTGTTCCTAAGGCTGACTTCATCTCTGGCTACGCCTCCCTGCAATCTCTGGATTTCCTTGCTCTCACTGAGACCTGGATTACTCCATCCAACACATCCACCCCAGCAGCTCTCTCCACTGCATATTCCTTCTCCCATACACCCAGACCAACTGGCAGAGGAGGTGGCACTGGTCTCCTGCTCTCTCCCAAATGGAGCTTTTCCCTCTTCAAGCTACCTAACTTCACTCCTTCCACCTTTGAATTCCATGCCGTCACAGTAACCCATCCTATACAATTGACCATAGTTGTTCTCTACCGTCCACCAGGCGCCTTGGGGGACTTCTTGGAGGAATTAGATAATCTCCTCTCACACATCCCTGAAACTGGCCCTCCCGCTGTACTTCTCGGAGACTTAAACCTCCAGACGGGGAAGATAGACGAACTAAACATCCCTGTTAAACCGCCTTTGCTTTCTCACTGTCTCCGTCCCCACCGACTCATAAAGCTGGCAATGTCCTTGATCTCATATTCTCAAGGAACTGCGCTACTTCTAACCTCTCTGTAAACCCGCTCCACACATCCGATCACTTCTTCATTTCATTTTCTCTACCCCTTTCCAAACATAACAAACTAATCTCTTCTCATCCTGCACTTGTCCGCCGTAACCTTCGTTCCCTCTCCCCCTCTACCTTTGCCTCGTCGGTGCTCTCAGCCCTCCCTTCCTCTGACTCGTTCCAACTCCTGCCTTCAAACTCTGCTGCAGAATCTCTCCTCTCTACTCTCTCATCCACTCTGGACTCTCTCTGTCCTCTCACATCTCGGCAGGCTCGTCAGTCCCCTCCTGCTCCCTGGCTAAATGATGCACTGCGTGCTAATAGAACCGTCCTTAGGGCAGCAGAGCGGAAACGGTGTTAATCCAAACACCGTGACGACCTCCTAACCTATCAGGCTCTCCTCTCCTCTTTCTCGGCTTCGATCTCTCAGGCAAAAAGCACTTTCTTTCAAGATAAGATCCAATCTTCCTATTCCAATCCGAAAAAACTATTTTCCATCTTCTCCACCCTCTTGGACCCTCCAAAAGCCCCTCCCCCCTCCTCACTTCTGCCAAGCGACTTTGTTACCCACTTTGAAAAAAAGGTTGATGATATTCGCTCTTCTTTTTCTGACTCACCTTTACTCACCACTGGGTCACCAGACCCTCCTTCCACCAACACACTAACCTCCTTTTCCCCTCTCTCTCCAAGTGAGGTTCTTACCCTCATTACCTCTGCCACCTGTCCTCTGGACCCTATCCCTTCAAACCTCCTTCAGACTATCGCTCCTGATATTCTACCGTTTCTCACCCATTTCATCAACACTTCTCTAACTTCTGGTCACTTTCCAAACAGTCTCAAGGAGGCAAGAGTAAACCCTCTCCTAAAGAAACCTACTCTCGACCCGTCTGATGTTATAAACTACAGGCCTGTCTCTCTCCTCCCGTTCCTGTCTAAATCACTTGAACGCGCTGTCTTTAAACAACTCTCCTGTTATCTCCATGAGAACAACCTTCTGGATCCGCACCAGTCTGGTTTCAAGGCAGGTCACTCCACAGAAACTGCTCTCATTGCTGTCACGGAGGAACTGCACACTGCCAAAACTGCATCCCTCTCCTCTGTCATCATCCTGTTGGACCTGTCTGCTGCATTCGACACGGTGAATCATCAGATCCTCCTTCGCCACTCTCCAAAACTTGGAGTTTCAGGCTTCTGCACTTTCCCTCCTCACCTCATATCTGAAAGACCGTACCTACAGGGTGACTTGGGAGAGGGTCTGAGTCCGACCCTTGTCAATTAACTACAGGGGTCCCTCAGGGCTCTGTTCTTGGTCCCCCTCCTCTTCTCCCTGTACACAAACTCGCTCGGATCAGTCATTAGCCCGCATGGTTTTTTCATACCACTGCTACGCTGACGACACCCAATTAATTATGTTCCTTTCCCCGCTCAGAGACCCAGGTCGTCGCACGCATCTCTGCTTGTCTAGCTGACATCTCTCAGTGGATGTCTGCCTCATCACCTCAAGCTCAAACTTGACAAGACTGAGCTGCTCTTCCTTCCGGGAAAAGATTGTCCCACTCTTGACCTAACAATCAACATCGGTACCTCAGTTGTTTCCCCGACTCAGACTGCAAGGAATCTGGGTGTGATCCTAGATAAGAAACTGTCCTTCACTGCAAACATTGCTGCTACAACCCGCTGCTGCAGATACACGCTTTACAACATCAGGAAGATACGTCCCCAGCTGACTCAGAAAGCGACTCAGGTTCTGGTCCAGGCTCTCGTCATCTCACGCCTAGACTACTGCAACTCCCTCCTGGCTGGTCTACCTGCATGTGCCATCCGACCTCTGCAGCTCATCCAGAATGCAGCGGCTCGTCTGGTCTTCAACCTACCTAAATTTTCCCACACCACGCCGCTCCTCCGCTCCCTTCACTGGCTTCCGGTAACTGCTAGCACACTGGTACTTGCGTACCATGCTGCGAATGGATCTGGCCCTTCGTACATCCAGGACATGGTTAAACCGTACACCCCAGCGCGTGCACTACGCTCTGCATCAGCCAAACGACTCGCTGCGCCCTCGCTGCGAGGGGGACCCAAGTTCCCATCGGCAAAAACACGTGGGTTTGCTATCCTGGCTCCAAGATGGTGGAATGAGCTCCCCATTGACATCAGGACAGCAGATAGCTTGCACATCTTCCGGCGCAGACTGAAAACTCATCTCTTTCGACTCCACTTCGAGCGATAGAACTTTTAACAAAGCACTTATATACTGATAAAGGACTGGCTTTTCTAAAGCCAGTTGAGTAGCACTTGAAATGTTTTGGCTCTATGAAACCTGATGTACTTATATGATTCTGTTTTCTTCAAGGTTGTGTCTTCCTGGTCGAATGTACTTATTGTAAGTTGCTTTGGATAAAAGCGTCAGCTAAATGCAATGTAATGTAATGTAATGTGGACACTCTCTTGCAAAATGTAGCATGTCAGTAGCTAAAAGACTCAAATGATGTTTAGATTAAAAGATCGCAACCCCAGGGTGGATATTGAGTTGACAGAGGATGAACATCAGGATAAAACAAGCAAGGTTTTATTAAAGACAATGAAGTCGTTCAAACAATGACAATAAATGCACACTTAAAGGAACAGACTATTCCTACCTTGTCCTCAGACTTGAAGAAGACTTTATGTGGCGAGCCCAGAGCACCCAGTACATCCTGACATGAATCTCCAAAGTAGATGCGCCTTTCTATCGACCTCACTTTAGAATCCGCCATCCCACCTTGACCACAGCCTGTATTCACACAATACAAACAAACAAACAGGAAAGTAAAATATTCAGTCTCTAGATAAATGATGAAGAAACAGCATGTCAGGGAAAATGGTTGTCTCCCTGAGGGTGGCCAGTTGGACACAATCACTTTTTATGTTTACCTTACGTCAAGATATACATGGTCCATACGTTTTACCTTGTTTTGCTGTGATGTTCAACGGAAAAAGAGCTGTAATAAAAATACTATTTAAATATTACTATCCACTACAGCTAGTTACATATTTGAACCAATTTGCAAACTGAACATAACTACTAAAATATGAATTACTTGAGAATTTTAAAATGTGTGTAGAATTTTGCATTTGTATATAGTAAATGCTTGAGTCAAAGTTCAGCAACATCATTGATTTTGATTCATGTTTATCTTTTGTGCGGGAATCCAGGAAAAGTGCATATATATTTGCCTCGCATGGAAAGCATTAGAACTTGGATCAACCTGATGAAAAATTGTAAAAACAAAACGTTTAATGTCAGCGCTGTAGATTGAAAGCCTGATAAGCAAATGGATGCTGTTATGCTTGCCATGGCATCTTTTGTACTCCCTTACGGATCTGATATTCTGTTTTGTCCACACCCATAGTAGCGGAGGTGCTGAGGTTGAACTTCCCAACATTTGAGAAGATAAACATTTGAATAATAAACCACATACACCCTTGCTATCATTTATACAATGTGCTTCAAAACAGCTAATTGATAAGAACATTAAAAGTGATAATAAATAGTTTAAGGTCAGTCTCCCAGGTATTAAATATTATAATGGTTGGATTTCTCTGTTTAGCTCCAGTTTCACAGCAGTGTTATGTATTGTGGTAGGTATGCTATGGAAAGTCAAGAGAAAGAAAATATGTGTCATTTTGGACAGATGTTGATCTATAATACATCTTTGTCTTCAAGACATAAAGTACACAGACAAACAGTTACCTGCAGTGAGAAGGCGGAGTTTAAGCCCCAAGGCCCCTGCCCGGTCTCTCAGGACATTCACACACTCCGCAAAGATGTTGCCAAGGAAACAAGCCAGCGGCATTGCCGGAGCTCTGAGGACAGAGAGTACAGTGTGTGTGAAAGTCTTTATTTTTTTGTTAAAACTAAATGTTTTTTCACATTTCAAACTGTTAAAAGGGGATATAAGGATCTCACACGCTCTTGTTTACTTTGTCAACAATGGATAATTATGATTAGAATTGTGCTTATTGACCAATATGGATAAATATAAAAGTCACTATTTGCAAAAACTGGTTAGAGAACCTAGTATGTGCACCCTTTGTAAGAGGCATGTCCTTAAAGCCCCTGTCACACTGTCCCGAAATTGACACCCGATGGACACACGATAAAGGAAATGTTCAAATTCGGCTGTGATCGTAGCAACATCGGGCCATTCGTGAGGGCATCTTAAGCCATCGTATGACCGCCGGTGGAGTTTCTCAGTCTCCAGCAGCAACTTCGTGAGCGGCAACTTCGTAAGGCACTCGTGAGGGCATCTTGTCAAATCGTGTCATCTTCGTGTTATCATCGGTGCATTCACCCTCACTCTGATCGGGGCGAATGCCCGATGACACCGATGATAACAAGATGCCCTCACGATGGCCTTACGAAGGGCAAAATTGACACACGAATTCAACACGAAAATGAACCTTCGCAAGGTCCTTCGGCAATTTTTTGGCATGCCAAAGATTTTGCCACCGCTCACGAAGTTGCTGCCGGAGCCTGAGAAACTACACCAGCGGTCATACGATGGCTTAGATGCCCTCACGAATGGCCCGATGTTGCTACGATCAGAGCCGAATTTGAACATTTCCTTTATCGTGTGTCCATCGGGTTGTTAAAATCATGTAAACATATTATGTAAATAACCCAATTTGTGTTCTGTGAAACTAAAAAGGATATAATATATTATTTTGAAGGACAGTTGACAGGAAGTTGTTGTTGTTATGGAAACAACATTACCGAGAAAACGTAATATTTTCTACATATAAAGACGGATAAAGTAAAGAACAAAGTCTGAAGATATCAGTACAGTATCATAGTACTGTAACATAATTGTTTTTGGTACTTTCATTGCAGTTGTATGTCTTAAATGTAATGTAAATGTTGCCTTCGTGTGTGGTTCGGGGCCATCTTCGTGCGAAATTCACAATTCCATATTCGTGTGTCCATCGGGTGTCAATTTCGGGACAGTGTGACAGGGGCTTTAGGTGATGTACAGTTTGTGTGTGTAAAGCCTCTTACACACCAAACTGACACCAAAGAACACCTAAGAACACGTTGCCTGCGTCTTGGCCATGTGTCGCACTGGAACACACCGCAAAGACTTCAGCCGACGTGATAACCGAGAGAAGAAGAACAGACTGCATGATATAAACAAACAACAAATGGCATGTGCGTTCCATTTTCACTCTACAACGAGAAGCTCATGGGGCTTTCCCGAACCTGTGTCGAGAGCTGGAGTTAAATGAAATCTCAGATTTGCCTTCCAATTTGTTTGGGTCCCTCACACCGTTTCGCTTCTCCTGCACTGATTCGTTAAGCTGAACAGCCAATCAGAGTGATTTCTTTGGCCAACGGCCCCCGATTCAACATGTGAAATTGGCCGCGGAAGGTGTCGGCACAGCCGAAAAGACACGACGGTGCACGACGGTGCAGTACACACTAATCTGAGTAGGGCGACACAACGCTCATCGACATCTATCGACATCTATCGGTGTGTAAGAGGCTTGAGTGTGTGTGTATGTTACCTTGTTTCTTGCAGGTTGTTGCCAGTGTAAATGTGCATCCTCTTGACCATGGCCCCGTGTGGAATCTGCAGGGAGGCCAAACCCATGGCAAAGTTAGGCTGCCAAGGCAAAACAACTGGGAGTGATAGGGGACTGGTACATACTGTGTTTTTGTGTGAACAACAACAACAACAACAACGAGATGTTTACAGACATATATTTTACACAATTACAGAAAGGTGTGGAGTGAAAGTCTCATAACACTGACTAACCTAAACACCACACAGTGTTATCTCTGATGAGTGACAATTATTTATACAATTTTTTGTATCCAATCGAATCAAATGTCATGTTACTCAACAGAGGTTACTACATTGCAGTGCATTCATCACCACCAAGCAACAGATGAGTCATTCTAGTATTGAATAAAAGCTTGCAGGTCTTAAGAAATAAAATAAAAAGCTATCCATAGTAAGAAGTAAGGCTTACTTGCCCCGAGAAAAAATTAAAGACATATAGGAGTAACATATTTGATTAAGTTCAATGAACATTTTAAAGTAACACAATAGAAACCATAAAAGAGATTGAATTGATTAAATGAATAATTTGAGATGTTCACAGGAGTCTTCCCTTATTGGGAATAGTCTACATTTTAGGGGTTAACAATCAAAAAGGTGTCCAAATGTGTTCTTTTGTACACGATGCATTATGAACCTTTCCATTGTTTTACTAATGCATCAGTTTTGTCTAAAAACACTTAAAGGTCCCATGTCATGCTTTTCCGGTTATTACCCGTCCCCTTGTGTGTTATGTAGCTTTTTATGCATGTAAACGGTCTGAAAAGTCACAAACCCTCAAAGTACACCCTGTAGCGAGTAAAACTCTAACACAGAAAAGACCTATCTATGCTGCCCCAGAACGCCTCGTTGGAGATTTTTTATTTTTCCATTTTATTCTTCCGGGAACCAAGTGACGTAACGACGACCCAATGGACTAAGCCGGGGACACACACACACACACACACACACACACACACACACACACACACACACACACACACACACCACACACACACACACACACACCAACACACACCCACACAACACACACACAACACACACACACACACACACACACACACACACACAACACACACACACACACACACACACACACACACACACACACACACACACACACACACACACACACACACCACACACACACACACAACACACACACACACCACACACACCACACACACACACACACACACCACACCACACACACACACACACACACACACACACACACACACACACACACCACACACACACCACACACACACACACACCACACACACACACACACACACACCACACACACACACACACACACACACACACACACACACACACACGTGCTAGTGGGGCCTCGCAGATGGGGGTGCTGCAGCCCCATCAGCACCCCCCTTCCCAGGTCCATGGTGCTCAGGCTGAGTTTCGCGATGTCTCGCTGTCTCGCAGACCCCACACAGCAACCAGGAAACGACACCAGTAATCCAGCTCACACTGTCCGCTCCCCAACATGGCACCCAGACCCCACGCAGCATTCTCATCCGTTGGTCATTACTGGTGTCATTTTCTGGTTGCTAACGCCATTGTAACACATAATCACTGATGTTCTGCTGTAACGGTGGTGGACTCATCAGAACAGAGTGGGCGAGCTGACCAATCAGAGCACAGTGGGCTCACAGGGAGGGGGGGGGGGGGGCAGGAGCTCCAACAAGCCATTTAGGACAGAGCAGTGGCGAGCCGTCAGGGCCTTCTAGGCCAGTGGTTCTCAACTGGTGGGTCGCGACCCACTACCCGTTTCGAGTGTTTCGCAGATGTGTGAGAGAAGAAAAATAAATTGGGAAAAAGAAAATTTCTTTTTTGGGAAAAAAGTCAAACTTTTATTTTGAAGGCCCGATTTTCTAACGCTGTGCATGCAGTAGGCGTTGGACTGGAAGTACCGGAGACCATAAACGGTTTAGAAAACTTCTGTTACGTAGTGATTCTCTTCTCAATAAAACATCTTTGCTGATGTTTTTCTGAGTCTTCTGGCAAATCAGAATCAAGAAGTCCCCACGGAGAATAACGGTAGAACTACTCTTTATACATCCATGGGTACGACTTCAGATAAAAATGAACACATAATGAAATATGACCCCCGGTTTGATGATTGACAGGTCACAGAACAATGGGGGCTATCTACCCTTACCCACAATTTAAAGTAATTCACACAGACTATCTCCTCTTTACTCTTCTCTCTGTGTGGAGCAGCAAGTTCAGCTGTCAGAACAAAGTGAAACACAAACAATGGCATAAAATATTATTAAAATGTCGGGTAGTAATAGATTTATTTATTTTCTTCTCAGAGTGTACCAGAATACGTAGTTTATATGTTAGTATTTCTAAAAAAGCATACTTTAGTTCTGTGAATGGACATAAAGGATATATGCCCTGTATTTCACTTTAATTAATATTGTATGCTGAAAAGCGTATACTATATATATATATATATATATATATACAGTGGGGCAAAAAAGTATTTAGTCAGCCACCAATTGTGCAAGTTCTCCCACTTAAAAAGATGAGAGGTCTGTAATTTTCATCCTAGGTATATCTCAACTATGAGAGACAAAATGAGAAAAAAAAAAATCTAGAAAATCACATTTTCATTTCAACTCCCTCCAAAGATTTTCTATGGGGTTGAGTTATGGAGACTGGCTAGGCCACTCCAGGACCTTGAAATGCTTCTTACAAAGCCACGTTTCATCTTCAATGCCCTTGCTGATGGAAGGAGGTTATCACTCAAAATCTCACGATACATGGCCCCATTCATTCTTTCCTTTACACGGATCAGTCGTCCTGGTCCCTTTGCAGAAAAACAGCCCCAAAGCATGATGTTTCCACCCCCATGTTTCACAGTATGTATGGTGTTCTTTGGATGCAACTCAGCATTCTTTCTCCTCCAAACACGTCTAGTTGAGATTTTACCAAAAAGTTCTATTTTGGTTTGGACCATATGACATTCTCCCAATGCTCTTCTGGATCATCTAAATGCTCTCTAGCAAACTTCAGACGGGCCTGGACATGTACTGGCTTAAGCAGGGGGACACGTCTGGCACTGCAGGATTTGAGTCCCTGGCGGCATAGTGTGTTACTGATGGTAGCCTTTGTTACTTTGGTCCCAGCTCTCTGCAGGTCATTGACTAGGTCCCCCCGTGTGGTTCTGGGATTTTTGCTCACCGTTCTTGTGATCATTTTGACCCCACGGGGTGAGATCTTGCGTGGAGCCCCAGATCGAGGGAGATTATCAGTGGTCTTGTATGTCTTCCATTTTCTAATAATTGCTTCCACAGTTGATTTCTTCACACCAAGCTGCTTACCTATTGCAGATTCAGTCTTCCCAGCCTGGTGCAGGTCTACAATTTTGTTTCTGGTGTCCTTTGACAGCTCTTTGGTCTTGGCCATAGTGGAGTTTGGAGTGTGACTGTTTGAGGTTGTGGACAGGTGTCTTTTATACTGATAACGAGTTTAAACAAGTGCCATTAATACAGTTAACAAGTGGAGGACAGAGGAGGCTCTTAAAGAAGAAGTTACAGGTCTGTGAGAGCCAGAAATCTTGTTTGTTTGTAGGTGACCAAATACTTATTTTACCGAAGAATTGACCAATTAATTCATTAAAAATAAAAAAAATGTGATTTCCTGGATTCTTTCCCCCAATTCTGTCTCTCATAGTTGAAGTGTACCTAGGATGAAGATTACAGGCCTCTCTCATCTTTTTAAGTGGGAGAACTTGCACAATTGGTGGCTAACTAAATACTTTTTTGCCCCACTGTATATTACAGCACAATATTTTGTTGAATAGATTTGAGTGGTTCAAAATTTCGGGTCGCGATTTATTGACAAAGGAAAAAGTGGGTCCCGAGGCCTGACCAGTTGAGAACCACTGCTCTAGGCCCTCTCTTACCTCATTCCCACCAACGCAACTCCGGTTCAAGCTCCGTGCTAGAGCTTTTCAAGTTCAGAACCGGTTCTTCGGTTTAGCTCCAGCTCTTTTCACACCGCCCAGAGTCCGACTGGTGCTGTGTCATTGCGTCATCGTTTGTGTCATGACGTAACCGTTTGCGTGCCTGCTTCATAAAGCCAAAGCTCGCGGAAACCCCTCACAGCTCACACCGACAATATAACAACAACAACAATGGCTGATTGTGCTCCAGCTTCCTCTGTACCTCTTCGGAAGACCAGATTCCCAGTAGGTAGCTGGTCTCTTCAGTGGACACTGTTGCTTGTTAAGTTTCTCCATCGTTGTGTACAAACTGGATAAAACGCGGGCTTTTTGTTGTTGTTCAGGAGTTGATCCCGCTTCTGCCCCTGCCACCGCCTTGACGTAAGCGTGACGTATGCGGTGCTTTTGCTCTAGCCGGACAATTTTTTGGTGCTTGAAACGAACCGGATTCCGGAGCTAAGAGGCTGCTCCACTGCGGTGTGAACAGGGAAACCCGGTGCTATTCAAGCTCCATCTCCGAACCAGCCCTGAAACACCGTTGGTGTGAATGAGGTATCTGAGGGCCTAATATATTCTAAAAAATAATATTTGAAAACATAAAAAAATATTTTCTTTTAGTTATATTTTTCATTAGTTTTACCAAAATAACTTGATTTAATTGTATTTAAAATAACATTTCCAAAGAAATAAATCCTTTGAATCTGCCTGTTCAGTTTCTGTTGGAATGTGAAGGGTTAAATGCCGTCTCTGCGAGTTACTTTGAAGACGGGAGAGCTTGTTGGTCCCTCTGTACATTCACAGAGGGCCAGCTATAGTAACTCAATGAGAGAGTACAATTGACCAATCATATCCTCCCTCTAAATGGGTGGGCTTTAATTTCGCGGACTTTATGACAAGTTCCGCCCGCTGTGAGGTTTATACATGTGTATAAAGTGGTGCAGTGACGCATCCTAAAACCCGGAAGTAAGCTGCGCATGGGTTTCCTGGACACAAAAGTAATGGGATTTCTCCATAGGATTTTGGAAAATAGGTATAGGTATAAAAGTCACGGCTCGCCACTGAC